TTATTATTAAAATAAATAATAGATCCTTCATTATTTGTAAGTTTTGTTGGCTTATTCAATAGCTGATGAAGTACTTCACAAAAAATACGCGAGTTGTCAGTGTATGTAATTTGGCGAAAGAATACACCACAATATTCTTGAACGCACTTTTCGAAATGTATTATGTACATGTACCTATCTTGTGTGAGCATGATTGTATGACCGGCGGGGGGAGAGGGGTTTAATCATACGATATTTAGTTGCCTACCCTGTCTCGAAAACCTGTGCACGCCACTGCGGCTAACGAAGCAGTCAATAGATAAAAGTCAAAAAGAAATATACGATGATACATATTTTAAGACCAGAAACTTAGAGACAAATTTCAGGGAATTCCCCATTCCCAATACCCATTTTCTCATTATTTAACTACGCTTTAATAAAAAGCCCATATTTCCTTGTTTGAAGTACACAATTTGCAACATAAAACGCGGTACAGAGTTCGTGGAATAATGCGTCAGGTGCAACTCGATACCCGCTTTATAATGCGGACAACAATACACGATGCCACATCCGGCCCTTTATTTCATCGTTGTAATTAAACGGCAGATGGCAGTTTCTTAGAACGGAGTTTAGGTATTTTAGAACTTGGTTTAGTATGGCGAGGAGATGGTGTGATTTTATAAGTAGTAGTAACTGGATGACTTAAAAATGGTGTTGAAAATAATGAAATAATGTATATAATATAATATGTTCAGTTTTATATGATTGAGGTTGCAGACTAACTTATACTTCGGTTGGAAGAAAGACGTAACAATTGAGTAGTATCATCCAGGGTAGCAAAATTAAAAATCTAATTAGTCCGTCAGTTAGATAATGAAAAAATATTAGACACGTATTTTTTTATTTTCCCGTAGTAAGTTGCAATACTTAGATAAAATGGCGCAATGTTTAGGAGTAGGAGGTCGTTACGTCATATCGTGCTACAAAATGTGGCACGCTATGACGTCAAACGATATTTCAAATTAATATATCGTCGAAAGTATTCAATTTTGTGAGAAAAGAAAAAATACGTGTCTAAAGTTTTAAATTAATGTACCTGACGGACATTAAAATAATATTTAGGAAACTACCCTATTTCCTATGATCGAGTATGACACCAAGTGTCACTTAAGCGCTAGCAATCCCCAAAAACTAAGATAAAATAGAGAATACTGGTCACTCTATATCGAATTCACATTCTTCTCATGCTCGCGTAATGAGTTTATAACCTTCATACATACATCCATAACGAATAGTTATTACAATTATTAAATAAACTGGGTATTTCCAAAAACGAACCACCCAAAAACCGCAATCCCTTACGCTCTGGTCACTAAACTAAAATTTTTATCTAAAAACTTTTACAATCTAAACTAGTTTTTGATTACATCTGACAGTTTAATTGCTAGCCAACAGATTGCACTAAAACTCAATTTGGAAACTGAAATTCCCGCGGGTATGTATCGCCCGTCCTTTCATAATCAGAGCCGATTAGTATATTGGGGTACTGAGCTGTGTCAATGTGACGCGTAACTGATCGGTTCGATTACTTTGGCCGAATGCGGTCGCCATATAATTATTATTGACAATCAATACGCATGTATGTATATATGAAACTCTTGACAGTTGACACGGAAGATGTTTGGCATGTAGGTCGTTTGGGGAATCTAGATAAGTATTGAAAGGGATTTTTATGAGAAATTTTTACTCGAACGTGAACAAAATTTCGAACAAAACTATAATATACTAGCTTTTTTCCCTTTTTTTACTAGTATTAGACTGAGCGACTGACAGACGATATAAAACCATAATTATTGACCATAGTACGGTGATATTTCACAGTCAACTTCCTTGGGGAGTCCAGAGAAGGCTTAAAGAACTTTTTTCTCAAAATTTCTTTCGATATGAAAAGAAACTCAAGTTCCTACAAGTATACGAAGCCACGAGCAAACCCTAGTATAAGCACATCATTAAACTGTATCAACGTTTCGCGTTTGATCGTTTCGAAGCGTTGAATCGGAACGAGGTCTATATAATTATTGACAAATTTGCTAGGCCTATTCCATAGGCTAATAGTGATTACACACTTGATCGAATGGGTCAATTGAGTCTCAAACGGTCTAAGTCCGAAGACGAGTTGTCATTGCCTCCCCTAACTAGTTGTGGGTTGAATTAATTAAATTTGGTGTGACCCCAAACTGACCTGACACGCGTCTTATGCCCTAAAAGGCTTACGTTTTCCTCCTACAAGACGCCTTTCAAAATCATATTATCGGTCTTAGTAATATAGATAAAGCCAAGACCAACTATCGGTCGCATTTCTTGACTGCATTTATTATTACTGAGACAATCGAAAAAGAAATGCCTTCTTGACCTTAAACCAAAAATATTGCATTTCTATTGCATTTTTGTGACTCCTTTGGTGTTGCGGGTGTCCATGGGTGGCGCTGATCGCTAACCATATGATCCATCTGTTAATTTGCCTCCAAATCCACAAAAGGAATTCTTACAAAATTCATCTATAGTGTGAGAAAAGCTATAAAAGGAAAAATAATTCTGTGGTAGGATATCATCTGATCTGATAGAGGGCTATGGAAGAAGAATACGTATTTTGTCAAATACAACAATAAATAGGTAATTTGTTAATGAAAAGGCCAAAAAATATAGATTGTTAAGTTAATACGGGTCGAAAAAATATAATGATGATATTAAAAAGAGGTCTTGTAACAATAATACAATCGATTTGCTAAAACAAAGAACTTCCCCGTTAGTACCTACTTCTACTAATGCTATCTATAACAAATTATTTACTAAGGATTACTATTATTAGTGCCGAAGTATAAATAGACTACATACACGGAATTCTAACCCACATACAACAATGTTTGTTATATTTCAGTCTTTGTATGCAAATTCAAAGCAACACAAATGAATAGAGTATTCTATTTTAAGGGCAAATAAGAATTATTGGCATTCTTTCGTATAATATAGAGCTACTCGAATCTATATGTATGTATCTATATATGTATATAAAAGAAAGTCGTGTTAGTTACATATATATATATATATATATATATATATAGGTACCAAGAACGGCTAAATCGATTTGGATGAAAACTGGCGGAGAGGTACCTTAGAACTAGGAGACGGACATAGGATTTTTATTCAATTCTTTTTTTACTTTTTACCGAAAATCACTAACGGGAACGGAAAAACGGGACTAAGTGTCCGAAGTCGCGGGCAGAAGCTAGTTAGTAATATATTAAAACAAAGTGGCTTTTGATTGACTGCTGTAGTAGTTCAATGCCTTTAACTCGTCGAGTACCGTCATTATAGACACAATTATAGAACAATAGGTTGCGGTCACCGGTGACCGCTTGGTGTTTGACAGTTTCAGTACTATTAACTTAGTGCATCATAACATAACAGTTGTAGCTTTTACCAAGTAACTTCTTATGAACCGAATACTTTTGGTTTCATCCCAAATTATTAATAAAATAGGGTTCATGACTATTTTTATTTTAATGTCCGTCTGGTAGATTGTTTAAAATCATTATGCGTATATTTTATTTTCTTACGGAACCGAATTGTTTCGAATATATATTGATTTGAAAAATCGCTTGACATCACTTTTGAGTACGATTTATGCTCTAAAATGACGTAGCTACCTCCCACTCCTAAACTATGATTTGTTTTATATAAGTATTGTTTTCTTATACGACAAAATAAAAAAATACGCGTCTAATATTATTTCATTGCCTAACTGACGGACGGAATTCGATTTTTAATTTTCATACCCTGTTGTCCTATTGTCTCTGGTGTTCTGAATCGTAACAAGATTTACACATAATAGTAAAACATATATACCTAAATGTATACATAGGTTGTAAGGCTCCCAAACACTGACAAATATTGTTTTTACAATTTTAATAGTTTCTGCTTTCCTGTTATTCATGCAACATCAGCCTTGAGCGGTTGATTACAACTATTATTACGTAAAATACACATTTAATTCCTTACTTTTAAGAAAATAAAGTTTGGTTTTGACTACCACCTGTCGGCATAAGCCATGATACTATTGTAATGCCATGCTAAACTATACACACATACAAGTTATTAAAAGTAGCCTATCACTGCATGCAATACAAATGACAGCTTTCTTCACTTTGTGGTTTTAGTTTTATATACCCATATAAATCTATACAGATAAATAAAATTGGAGTCTGGTTGAAATATTAAAATAACCGCTTTTTATTATATGCATACGATACCTAAACATAAACATACCAAAATACCATTTTTTTCAATTTTTGTCTGTCTGTCTTTATGTATGTTTGTGTGGCTAATCTCTGAAATGGCTGTACCGATTTTGTCGGGACAAGTAGCTGATGTACTAATGAGTAAAATAGACTACTTTTATTTTGGAAAATTTATCAAAAAAGAAGGTTATCTCAAATTCATATTTTACGCGAACGAAGTCGCGGGCAATAACTAGTTATAGTATATAATAACTATTGTAATGTGTGTGTGTGTGATGGTTTAGAGAAAATACTTTCTCTGTATATACACAAGGTGTTGTTTTAAAGCCGCGTCATTTTCTAGGAGGTAACTCAGATATAGATTCTGAGTCCGAATCAATAAAAAAATAGTAGGTAAATATTTTTCATTTTTCTGAAATTAAGGAAATTCGTAAGTGCGAAGTACACTCCGACGTATTATAACTAGCTTTATAACGCGACTTAACACACACAAACTCAAACACGTAATTGATATTATTCCTAATTCCATAAAACTCCACTAAGGCACATTGCTGTCGCTTATTCTGAAATACTGTCGAAATTAAACGATTTATTATAGCCGTATTTTTAACTATTGGCCCAAACTTTTCTCTTACATTGAACGTTTATGACTTCTGTGACATGCCCCCGAGAAATGACACTGTTTCAAAACTACACCTTGTATTACAATAGTAAAAATCTTACCAGGTGCAAGTATCCGATCATGAAGCATAGTGGACGGAGGTTGATCCCGCAACAGCTGTTCGATTTCGGTGTCATTTTGACACTGTAACAATAAAAAAGGCTGTTAGGGTTATTTCAAAATCTACCATTACACTTCCAACTGCGGTATAAAATAGACGAATTGAGTTTGGTATTTAACTCGTCGAGTACCGTCACTATAGACACAATTATAGAACAATAGGTTGCGGTCACCGGTGACCGCTTGGTGTTTGACAGTTTAAGTATAATAATATTAGTAAGATGCCAACGCTTGTGTGTGTTTTTTTTTTTAAATGGGACAAGCCCGCCACAACCTCCCAAAACCGCTGCAACTCCTGTAAGCCAGGATCTACAGTAGATACAACCATGAAAACACCGGAACATTGAAGTCCGGCGCGTCCCAGGGACATGAGTAACTGTCTTGGTTCCCGCAACGAAATGAATCAGAAGAGGAGAAGAAGAAAAAACTATAATTTCCACTTCCCTCGGTGAATTACTGCAGGAGACAGAATGAATTAAGCCTAAAGGCACAAAGAAGAGACTGTACAACTGGGTGAAGCCCAGTCGCCAAGCACCACGGAAATTTGACTAAAAAACTAAGTGGGTCCTATGTGTGAGCTGTTATACTTGCTTCCAATAATAGGTATGGCAAAAGCGCCTAAACGCACGGAAATTTGTTCTAGATTCCACAAGGTCCGTATAATAAGCTACACCTGATGAAACAATTAAATTATTCAACATAGTGTTACGTTCATATTGCCAGAGATCACACTCCCAGAGTATGTGATGGGCCGACTGCTCGTATCGCAACTCCTCTGACGAACATTGGCACCATGGTGAATCAATAAGTTTAAATGAGAACAATTTGCTTTTAAAGTTGCCGTGGCCAGTAAGAAATTGGGCAACACAGTGATCCACCTCCAACCATGTCCTCTCCAGCCGCTCATGCACGGATGGGAAGAACTGATACAGGTGGCGGCCCTTAATAGAAGATGCCCATCTACCCTGCCATTCAGTTATAAGCTCATCCCAAACGTCCGTTATTGGCTTAAACAATCTTGCAATTTTATTTCTATCACGTTCAGCCAGAAAACTTGCTGACAAATTAGGTCTCGCACTGTAGTACATAGCAGCACGTCGCTGCACCTCAAGATCTACCGGAAGTACGCCCGCGAGCACAGGTAGGGCTTCAGTGCTAACCGTCCTATAAGCCTTACACAGGAAAATCAAGGCTAGACGCTGGCCTTGAAGAAGTTTTCGCCGTACCGCGCCTATTGTGGCCCTATCAGCCCAGACAGGTGCCCCGTAGCACACGCATCCCAGGTAGGTTGCTCCGTATATGATCCTGAGCGTAAGAAAAGAGAGACCCCAGGTGGCTTTTGAAATTCGCGTCAGCGCATAGAAGTTTTTTTTGGCTTTCTCACTAATAGCCTTAATATGCTCAATGAAAGAAAAGTTTTTTTCCAAAACTAGACCGAGATAGCAAACCGACTCCTTTCGTTTTACGGAAACGTTGTTAAATTTAATAGACGGCCACGACTTTAGATTTCCTTTAAGCAATAGCTGGTAAGTTTTATGGGGTGCAAAAGTTAAGCGATTTCGTTCGCCCCATCGCGAGATCCTACTGAGACAGTCTTTAGCCAAATTCTCCAGTCCGGCGCGGGTATTTGACTGTACTAGCAAAAGGCCATCATCCGCATATCCAGTCAAAGTACAGCCACAAGGAAGGGGAATCGCGAGCAAATCATCAAATCCTAAATTCCATAAATACGGACCGATAACCGAGCCCTGAGGACATCCCATTGATAAAGACTTCGACCGAGAACAATGACCAAGCTTCAGTTTAACGGAACCGTGAAGGAAATACGTGTATATTAATTTATATATGTTACTAAAACAGCCACGACCTTTCAGTTTTAAGAGTAACATTGGCCACCATGCGTTATCAAAGGCACCGGAAATGTCCAGAAAAATGCCTACTATATACTTGTGTTCAGACGAATTTACCATGGATCGGACAGAAAGAGCCGCGTCGACAGTAGACTTTCCTACAGTGAAACCAAATTGATTGTTGTGGAATTTTGGTCCACCTGGCAGTAAACGAGGAACGATAAGTCGCTCAAGTAGTTTCCCTAAAGATGGCAAAAGCGTGATAGGCCGGTATGACTTAGGGTCATCGGGGGGTTTATTTCCATTCTTGGGGATTATGCGAATGAATCCACGCTTGTGTGTTTGTGTATTTGTTACTCCTTCACGTCAAAACAGCTAAACCGTAAAGATGAAATTTGAAGCAGATTATTGTCTGGAACAACACATAGGCCACTGTTTGTCCCTCAGGAACACGGGCGAAGCTACTGGCAGAAGCAAGCGTTAGCAGAAGCGCGCGGTTTAACCTTCTCTTTAAAAAAAAACACGTTGCCCCGCACTAGGATTTTCTCCTGTGTCGTGGGTGCGTTTACAAACATACAAATTCACATACACATGATACCCAGGCTCGGAACAACAACCTGTGAATCACACAAAGAATTGTTCCGTGCGGGAATCGAACCCGCGACACGTTGCCCGTCAGCCAGTTGTCCAACCACCACGCCAACTGTGCAGTCGATTATATATTGATTGTAGGGTAATGTTTTATAGCATACAGCCCTTCCCGATAGAAGGACTATCCAGAACAAAAAATAATTTTGAAATTCGAACCGACGGTTCTAGGGATTAGCGCGTGGGAACATTTACACATCAAACAGCCTACTGTACAATTGCACGAAATTGCATAAGTTGCATGCAACAATAGTTGAAGTTTCCTTAACCAAGTAAAAGTAGGTCTGTTTACTTACCTACAAACATCCTTATATTTTCCTCAAAGTCTTAAAACAACACGATACAAGTTTAATTAAAGAATGTTCAAATTCAAACCAGCAGTTCTGCGGATTAGCGCATGGAAACAAGGAGACAAACTAAATCTTCAGCTTTATACATTAGTATAGATGTCATTTATGTCTGTCTGTGCGCAAAACTAACCTTTCTTACGTTGGTAAAGCTATTAATGACGTCAAATGGTGTCATAAGGAAAAACTCCAAAGGAAATAACGTAATATTGTTTATGAATAATAAATCTTGTAGTAATTAGATTCTTACGCATGTACCTCGTGTGTTCTTGATTCATTCCTGATTTTTGTTGATATTTAATTGTTATTGTATGTTTTATACTTGTTTCAATGGTCAAACGATCAAAAAAACAAAGGAACACTTTAGAGGATTTTCCGGTTATCGAACTGTTCTCAGTTATGATACGGAGTTTGGATTTGATCCCAGTTCCCAGGCTCTATATACTAGTGAAATAAGCGAGAATCGCATATTATATGTGTACTTCGGACTGTTCATGTGAATTTACAATATCGGTAAATCGTTTTCAACCACCCTTATTATTAAAATAGTATGGTTATAATCCTAAAAGATATCCACCATCTTCTTTAATGTAGGAACCAAGTCTACTATGGAAGTATTTGTCGTTAAAAGGAAAGAAAAAAATATGTGCATGATGATGTATTCAAATCACTGTCACCTCACTTCAAGTTGCTCATATAAAATTCAAATTTTCTATCGATAAAGTAAACGTTGGAAACTCGACGCTAGTTTTGTTATCAAAAGACGAATGAATTAATTCGTTTTGATTGAAAATTATACTTCGGTACTAAGCATTATAGTTTGATTTCGAAATTCACAGCAATGGACTGTAGTCAAGATTCTATGTATATAGGACGGGGCGACAAATAAGCAGATCACAGAATTTTGCAGGCTGAAATGGCATTGAGCAAGCCACATTGCTCGAAAAACTGACGGCTTAAAGGCCAGGAATGCTCAAACTCAATTCAAACCATTGATCGGAAGACCGAAGCGGGGGCTGGATTCCCTACGGAGCCGCAGACAACTTAACGGGTTGCTGGGGCTCAGACTCGAAGTGCAGAAGTAGGAACAGGGTGATTTCTTGCAGGCCCGACAGGCACGAGAAAATGAGGCAGACCATACGCGCGGTGGAGAGACGACATAATCCAAGTGGCTGGCAAACATTGGATGAATATCGCCAAGAACAGGGACAAATGGAAAGCACTAGAGGAGGCCTTCACCTTCCAGTAAACCGAGGGGTTCTTACTACAAGTCTCAACAAACGTAAACGAGATGGATGTAAAGTAAACGAAAAATCTTTTTAGGTAAAACCAATTTTTTCTTCAATTTTTTGTAAATTAGTAAGAAATAAAAGGCTGTAGCCGCACCGCACGACTACATACCTACCAGTTACCAGTACCACCGAATACCTTACCATATACCTTCCACAATACCTTTACCAAAAGTTTTAGACTTACTTCGTTTTAGAAACAAGAAACAAATTGTCTTGAAAAAGACAGTTTACGTTTTGACTCCGTTTTTAGAAACAAGAAACCAATTGTCTTGAAAAAGACAGTTTACGACTCTCTCGCATAGAAACGATAATAATCACTGCGGCAACAGCGTTATCACACCGTGCCGCGAGCGATCGCTTCGAAAGAAGCGGTTTGGTTAAGCAAGCAGCCAAGCAGCGCAAGCGGAGCCGGAGCCGGAGCACTTGCATTCGTCGTATCTTCATCGTTCATCTGTAGGTAGTCTTCAGTCTTCACTCGACGCCGGCGCTCGGAGAAATGCGCGCGCTCGCGCCGCGCGGTCATACTTATACGGAAGGAACCGATAGTGCCGTGTGCAAAGCGGCGCCCC